TTGCTTTGTCTCTTCTTGTAACGGCCATTTCTCATTGCCGCAGAATAGGACAGAATGGACTGCAACCCAGCATACTCGTTCTTTGATTGATAGTCAGATATCTTGCCAGTTGGCGCCATAGGTGACGCAATTTGGCAAATACCAAACGGGCCTTCTGTATCCCAGCTGAGATTTCATCAGCAAACAGCCCGTTCGGCGGGCTGACGTAACCCCCCGAAGTCAGTGAAGCGATCGACATATTCCACCATTTCACTCCCTATCATTAAACTAGGAGCGGTTGCAGACCAGTTATGCATGGAGTGTGATCTTATATTTAGCAGATGCTAATAAAACGCATGCCAAACACTCAGATTTCTGAAGGTGGTCAGAAAATCCTGCATTTGGTCAGCGTCTTCACCTAGCCGCACACTATCGTCTGCATACTCCAAATAAACCAGATAACCTCCAGGGAGTAGGTTATTCCCTGTGAAGTCAGATATACTTGAGATTATGTCCATTAGTACGTCTATAACGAAGTTGAATAGGAACGGCGACAGTGGGCATCCCTGGCGGATACTATCACTCGTCATCAATTCTAATGACAACTCAATATAAGCCTGCACATGGCTGTATGAGTTCGAGGAGAAAGCGTCGATTTGCATTATATACTTGCTCGGTACTCCCTATCTAGTCAGACACTGCCACAACACCTCATGGTCTATAGAGTCGAATGCAGCCTTTAGGTCAAGAGATATCACAAATGTTGGTCACTGACCGGTAAGTATGTATGTGTTCCAGGACCTATCGGAAGGTAAAAATATGATCGATTCACCCTCATCCATGTGCGAAACTTGTCTGTTTTTCTGGAGCTCTACTTAAGTGTTAGATAACTATGGAGCCTTGGATATTGGACACGATATTAGTCAAACTGATTCCCCTATGGTTGGCACAGGAAAACTTCTTTCCCTTATAGACTGGGATGACCAGTGAAGTACACCAGTCTTATGGCACTAACTCATAAACTACCCATACACTACCTTGTACCTCCGTCAATTTTGTCAGTAATTTCCTTCCTCTATTCTTGAAAAAGTCAGGTGGCAAACTTTCAGGTCCTGGTGCTTTGCTTCATTTCAGGTTCGATATAGGTTTCTCAATTTTAAGGAGTTTTGGAGGACCGACATTTACGTCCCATTCAGGTTGAGGCTGGGTGTTGGGCAACTGAAACGTTGCTCAAAAAGACCTAGCCTTCCATGGTGTAGGCAGTCGGAAGTGTCAACGCTCACAAGCCGTCACAACTGTCAGCGCTCAAGTTCTCTCAGACCACTATCCATCTCCTTTGCCTTTGCCTTATAATCTTCCTTCACGCTCTTCAGTTAACATTCCTACGTCTTTAATTTCTTCTAGCTCTGCAGCTTTCGACAGTGATGTCAGTCCACGGAACAGCATCGTTGGTCTCCTTAAACCACGTTTCAAATCACACATTGGACCCTTGAATGTCCACACCCTCCGTCAACTTGGCCAACAATCATCATTAGCCAAAACTCTAGCAACTCGGGGCATGCATGTGTGATGTGTTTGTGAGATACGCGTACAAGACCTCTTCTACCTAATATAGTGAACCCGCAAAATTTACCCTTCGAGTTTGTGGTTACACGATAGCTAGTTCTGGTGATCTTGCAGGTGTAGGCATAGCAGATAGCTCACTACTAGACTGAATCTCAGTTGATAGTTGCCTATGCGCTGTCCGGCTTAATGGCACCGAGAGCTAAGAAGAGTAGTGAAACTCGCCGTTGTCTCTTTGTAATCTCTGCTTACGCACCCACTCACTGCAGTTGGGATGAAGTGAAGGATGAGCTCTACCAAAAACTGTCTAGCCTCCTTCTGAAAGCTAAACGTTCAGATATGGCGGTTGTTGCCAGCGATTTCAATGCATAATTAGGTAGGCTGATTTAGACAGAAAGGCACTTGGGTGGCACTTTCAGAATCCCGGCTGAACGAACGCCTCTATCTTTCTCGCTTTCGCCTCTCACCACTGCTCGCGATCGATGCGAAGATTCTTGATCACATAATGTGTAGGCTGCTTTCGATCTTCATCGTGATCAAAGCCCGCTGGAGTCGGTCTTTTCGTACCAGTCATTTCGGAAGACGTCGCGGAAATCCAGTGACATTTGCTAACCTTCATTTGTAGGTTACCAGTTGTCTTTATAGCTGTTTCTATAGTGTACTTATTGTCAGACCAGGTTTCCTCAGTATCAGCATTGCTGTCATATTCAGATAAATACTTAGCTATCTCTTCCCTAAACTCGAACTTGACGTTCTCATCTTCCAATCGACTATAAACAGGCTTTACTATTGTCTGCTTCCTGCGACCAGTAGGACGCAGATATACACGAGCCAGCACTAGCGGGTGATCGGAGTTAAAACTGGCACTCCAGATGAGCTGCAATCCTCCACCGGTTCTCTTCAACGAAACCACGTGATTGTCGGAGCAAAATTACAACCAACCAATTTATCATAACATTCAGGCAATATCGAGGTATCCACATGAGAGCCCATATGCCAATAGAGGTCGAACAATTCGATCCAACAAAAAAAGGAGAATGACAAGTATGTCAATAAATAGTAACAACTACCACCCGTTGTACAAGAAGTGGCTATCTTTCTTCTATGGCATAGTGGATAACGCCTTGGCGTTTGAAGTGATGGGTACCAGGTTCGGGTCCCAGTGGGAACAACACTGGAGTGCAGGCACATCCAGCTGACGGGTCCCAAATAGGACGAGACGCGCGTCGTGGATTCTTCTGCTAGCCACAACCAACCGATTTATCATAAAGGATAACCGTTGTCGGTTCGTTGGCGTGTGATGCCGTAAAGGGTTCGGACATTGAAAGCTGCTACATGAAATTGATGACTTTGATCGTTGACAATAATCGTAGAGTAAAAGGTTTAGAAAGGTGTAAGAGGCCTAATACTAGTATTCGGAGGTGGAGGCAAGGGAGGAGATGGAGTTAAGGAGGATCGGTTGTTTGGTTGGGTCTTATGTACTACTGGAAGCGTGCGGGGGATTGACACTTCCGGGTTCCCCAGGCCATGTTTTTGCTAAGTACCTGAAAGTAAAAGAGATCAAGAAACACCTTTCTGAGGCATGTCACACGCGGCCTTTTTCACAAGTTTGAGATTTTGGTGTTTTTCTTTTGAATCCAGTTATGAACCCAGGTTTGGGTACTTGAACCTCGTGGGGTAAAGAGGAGTGTGTTATTTTTCGGGCCAACCTTTTCTAACCCTCCGCTTCCAGTACGTAAGGCAGCACCAACCACCTTACAGTCCGACGTTACCCTCAGATCCCCATCATAGTGTAGCAATCTACACTGTAGCAGTAACTGCTTTTTGTTTAACCACTATCCGAAATACTTTTCTGACATAATAAAATGTCGTGGGAAAAAAAGTTCCACCAGCATAGCTCATTGGATCATTGTGATATACCGAACCAACCACGTTATTGAAAGCTCTCTACTCGAACACTTGTGGGCATGTTAGAGCCTATGGCGAGTTGTCCAGGGAACTATACTCATCAACTGGTGTCCGTCAAGGATGCCCACTATCTCCATTCTTATTTAATTTTATCATAGATATTCTTATGGAGGTTTCCCTCTCGTCACCTAATTACACAAACGTTGACCCAATCACAGGTGAATTTTCTTTAGATCTAGAATATGCAGATGACATAGTCAATCCTGTTAGGTGAAGACACTGACAAGATGCAGAGTCTTCTGAACACTTTGAGTGGGAATTTGAGAATGTTTGGGATGCAATTTTCACCACCCAAATGCAAATTGTCACTCCAGAACTGGTCTTCAGTGGTACCGCGGCTAACAACAGAGAGTGAAGTGGTTGAGTGTGTTGACCATTTCACTTACCTGGGAAGTAGGATCAGCACTGTCCTAGTGGGTTAGTTGCCGATGAGATCTCTGCACGGATACAAAAGGCTTGATTGGCTTTTGCCAATTTCAGCCACCTATGGCGCCACCGTGATATCCGTTTGTCTATTAAGGGTCACGTGTACTGCACAGCAGTCCAGTCTGTTCTACTGTATGGCTGTGAAACATGGCCATTGAAAGTGGAAGATATAAAAAGGCTTCAGGTGTTTGACCACCGTTGCCTTCCTAGTAAGTATAGGACGTATTCCGTGGTGTCACCACACAACGTGAGTAATGCAGACGTCAGGTGTAGAGGTTTAGGGAGGAGGTAAGTCAGTTGACGAGGTTGTGAACCTTCATCGACTGAGATGGTTGGGACACCTACTACGTATGCCTAGTCACCGATTGCCTCGACACACAATGTTGGCTGAGGTGGGTCCAGGCTGGAAAAAGGCCCGAAGTGGCCAGACTAAAACATGGCATCAATGTATGAAATCGTTGACTGTTGGTTTAAGCCGTGTATGGGGGCGATGCAGACTAGGTGGTTGGGGTCCACGGGACAAGAGGAACCAGTGGTGGTTGGAGACTGACTCTAGGTGATATGGCTCAGAACCGATGTCAGTGGAGCAGATGTATCCACACACATCATCTTCATCTTAACAACGCTATACCGAATCTCACTATTTTGTCACTCCTCTTTCCTTTCTTTCTTCTCGTACTTTATATTTCTTTTGACTGAATTCACTTATCTTCATCCTTCACCTCACTACCTTTTTACTTGATGAACTGACGTGAGGTGTGGCAAGTGGGACCGTTACTCAGTAATGCCTGGTCCTATGTTGATAATGATGATAATGATGAACCAGCCACCACGTCAAGGTAACTGCTATGATATAATAATGACTGAATCTCTCAAGAAATACTTTTATTTATTCCCCATTTCTCATAGGTGAAGATTTGATCACTGACCTAAACACTCAACTTTTGACAATATCTCTTAGATTCTCTTTGCATATAAAAGTGTCATTAGCCTTGACCTTATAAATCTGACTCATTTGTACTGGGTTGAGTTTCACTAACACTTCTCTTTTTTTCTTTTTTCCAGTTTTAGATTGTTTCTGATAGATTACAAAACTGATAGTAATCAATTAGTATCATTTATCTGTTAATGTCAATCATTCATTATGTTTCTTATTTGATCTAAAGGATCAAATTACCACTGAACACAACAACACTAACCAACAGATGAATAATGATATTTTTAGAAGTTCTCAATCGAGCTGTTGAAGAATCTCTTTTATACAGATTTGAAAATGCTAAAAATGGGTAAAAAAAAATTAAAAATCTTGTGAACCTCTTAATATATGTATAATAGTTTAAAATTTGAGAAATTCGATCAAACATTAGCTGATTTCGATGGAGTTGTCTATCGGTTGAAAAGTGTTCATAATGATCGGTCAAAAATTATTGTCAGTATAACACTGAATTTTTTTCAAGAATTACAAGAACATGGAGCAAATGAGGTTTGTTAACTTTGTTGTTTAGTTAGCCTATCTATCTATCTATCTATCTATCCATATTAGGTGTTGAAAAGAGAATATGGTCAATATTTATTAAATAAACCAGAAGATGGTTGCAGTGTCTCCTTATTATATGATTTGGAGAATTTACCAGAAAATCTCAGTTTATTGGCACAAAAAGCTGCTCTACTCAAACGAAATTGTTTTGCTGCTGTATTTGAAAAATTCTTTGAATTTCAAGCTTTAGGCGAAGAAGCTGTTGGTTGTAAGACAGCTGTTATACACTATCGACCAGATGAAACTCTGTAAGTGAGGTGGTGGTGGTGGTGGTAGTGGTGTTGTAGTTTCCATGTTCACTACTTCTTCTATGTATAACTTGTAATTTGGCTAGCTTTTTAGTTGAACAAGAAAAACACGTGACCCAGTAGTAGTAGTAGAAGTCATGTAAAGCACATCTAGTTTTGGGTAATGTGATAAATGCGGCTAATGACCAGTGGATTGACACTACTCGTTCAGATATTTGTTATTTGAGGCTTATAATACTGACTTGGGATGCGATGTTAACCGAAGTAGGACTTCACTGGAGAATAGGCTAAAAGATAATGGGAGGTGAGACACCAATGCATGAAGTCATCTTTAATTGCTGTTGTGAGCTGTGTGTATGTTTAAGAAGGTGTAGACTACCCGGTTGAGCTCTTCGTGGTATTGAAAATCAGTGGTTTACGACTTTAGGACACGGACGGAGATGTATTCATTCTTTATCATCTTCGAAGTCTGGAATATTTGTATTCACCTTTCCTCTCTCACTTTTATGTCATTTGTTCTCTGTTCAATTTTCCTTTACATTCTGCTGTTTAAGTGCTGTGACAACTTGACCTAATTTCTCTGTAAACCATGTTCTACTTTGTTCTGTCTATCAGTCCAAACTACACGGTGGACTGAATAAATTTTGAAACTAAGTTGTCTGGCTCATCACATCTGTATGTGCGAAGTACGAGTAAGACGTTAGGTGATGAACAGGCATACATAGAATAAAGAGCTGTGACTCAGTGGTTTAGGGAGGTAATTATCAACCAATGCGTCTTGGGTCTGAATCCCGCTCCTACTAAGGTTTGGACAGCAAGGTAGTATCACTAGTCCGTAAACAATGAGTGTGGCTCACTGTTTACTACACGAACGTACATAAGGTAGCTGGGTAGGTTCCCTTCCATCCTGAATATGTACTGTTGCTAAATTGTTCAAAATACGTCATATGGAGTCTAAAAACATCGTGATGCTGACCCATACCAAATAACTTAACCTTCCCCCTAAAGCCATACGCTGATAGTCAGTCACTGTATTGACTGATGCCGTTTCTTAATCCAGATATCCTACTATACTTTACTCTCGCTTCACTTAGTAAAAAATACTCATTTCAATGGCCAAGTATACAGATATATCCATTAGATTGTTAGTTAAATGCCCTTTATTAGTCACCCTTCATTTTCTTCTAACCTATTCCTACTTCAGCTATTATGTGCGACGAAGTTAGTGGTCATTAAGCATGCATAACATCTATATAGGCCATGTCAGTAGGTAGAGGTTAGAACTTCATTGACTTACCTTTCTCACTTAGCACTATAACTTCTAACTCAACAGTTTTCATATAGTGTATTCACAACCCATAAGCACTACTGCAAAAACATCTACAACCTCAATTTTTCTACTTTCAACGGTCACATTTCACAATTGCACAATTTAAGTAGATTTGATTGGTGCGTGATATAATCTTTCCTCAGTAGGTAGTTAGATAACAGAAAGTGTATTTTAATGCCAAAATATGTACAATATACAATGGTTTTGACTATTCCTATTGAATTTGCTTTTTCAACGAATCTGATATTTACACGTAGGTTCACGTGTTGTCTCTCCAAACTTTAAAGCAACACCATCCATTCATCCATCGAAATCAACATTAGACCAGGCATCACTGAGTAACGGTCCAACTTGCCACACCTCATATCACTACATTAAATAAAAAGACTGAGGCGCAAGATGAAGATAAGTGAATGCAGTCCAAAGAAATATAAAGTACGAGAAGAAAGAAAGGAAAGAGGAGTGACAAAATGGTGAGATTCGACATAGCGTTGTTAAGATGAGGATAATGTGTGTGGGGATACATCTGCACCACTCACATCGGTTCTGAGCCATATCATTTACAGTCAGTCTCCAACCACTGGATTCTCTTGTCTCGCCGACCCCAACCACCTAGTCTGCATCGCCCCCATACACGGCTCAAACCAACAGTCAGAGACTTCATACATTGATGCCATGTTTCGATCTTTCCCCCACCTCTGTCACCTTTTTCCGACCTGAACCTACTTCGGCCAACATTGTGTGACGAGGTAGACGGTGGCTAGGCATACATAACACATATCCCAGCCATATCAATCGATGAAGGTTCATAACCGTGTAAACTGACCTACCTCTTCTCTGCACCTCACTTCTGCGTTACTCACTTGGTGGCACCACAGAATACGGTCTATACTGCGAAGGCAGCGGTGGTCAAACATGATTGGCTATGAAAGGTTTCAGGGATTTAACTCCTCTTATACGGATCTGGGCAATCTTACTGCATGTCTATGACAATCAATGGTCAATCTTACATAAGTTTCATGCCCATATCATCAGTAGTGCTTCTTTTTACAAACCTGGGAGCACTGGATAGGTGTTTTGTCCGACTAGCATGGGGCTCCTCAGCAGTGCTCACCTACCGCCCCCTCCGCACCAGGTATCGGACCCAGGACTTTCAGGTTCCACGGCCAGCAAGTTACCATTGAGCTACTGAGTCACAATCCAGTGGTCCATATTTCCTACTTCTATCAGTTCACAATATAGCACGATCTACATCTGTATTCCATGGTGTCACCACACAACGTGAGTAACGCAGAAGTCAGGTGTAGAGTTTTTTCTCGGGAGTAGAGGTAAATCAGTTGACGAGGTTACGAACCTTCATCGATTGAAATGGTTGAGACACCTACTACGTATACCTAGTCACCGATTGCCTCATCACACAATGTTGGCCGAAGTAGGCCCAGGCTGGAAAAAGGCTCGAGGTGGCCAGACTTAAGCGTGGCACCAATGTATGAAGTCTCTGACTGTTGGTTTAAGCCATGTAGGACGATGCAGACTAGGTGGTTGGGGTCGGTGAGACAAGAGAAATCACCAGTGGTGGTTGGAGACTGACTGTAGGTGATATGGCTCAGAACCGATGTGAGTGGCGCAGATATATACACACATTATCCTCATCTTAACAATGCTATACCGAATCTCACCATTTTGTCACTCCTCTTTCCTTTCTTTCTTCTCGTACTTTATTTTTCTTTTGACTGCATTCACTTATCTTCATCCTTCACCCCACTACCTTTCTACTTGATGAACTGACGTGAGGTGTGGTGGGAAGTGGGACCGTTACTCAGTAATACCTGATCCTATGTTGATATTGATGATGATGATGCGATCTACATCCATTGTCATCGCTGAATTAATGTTATCATATTCGACTTGGTTAACCCCACTATTCATGGCTTCTCATTTGAACTTCTGGCATCACCTCTCGAAGTTAGTCACTAATGAGCGCTAGATTAATTCTGTCTAGTGAAATATTGATACTTAGCTCCTGGAGGAAGGTATCTTTGACGAAGCTATGTAAACCGACAATGAAGAATTCTCAGACCGAGATATCCATTACAAAATCATGAAACTAAAAGTTGTAGACACCAGTTCATAATTTTCTTGGCTTACTGTGTGTATAAAATAATACATAAACCATTATTGAAACCTTGATCTCTCACGTTTATTTAAGATGTTATTGTACAGAGAATGCAAAACCACTTTTACTGACACATGGACATATTCAATGTTTACCAAACAATGTGAATGTCATATTCATAACATCTCTGACTACAATACTGGTTGATGCGGATTTAAGTTCCAAGGGAGGGGAAGGGGGCGGGAGTAGGAAACTAGGTTCCTTCCAGGTTGCAGATCCACCCCTTGTTGACGAGTAGTTAAGAAGCATGAAACATAAGTCCAGATACTTCGAAGACATACTTTCTTATCTATTATTATTATTATTATTATTTGTCCCTTGGGTTTCTAATAGAACATAGGGATTCAGTAGCACGTCTCTAGTGCGCTCTGTTCTCTCCACTATTTTGAACCTGGTTCCACGACAGCCCACAAGCTCTCATTTCCGTTTCGCATGATCTCTTACATGTCACCCTCGCATCGGACGCCCAACTCGTCGCTTCCCATCGGGGTTCCACTCGAGTGACTGGCCTGACTCACGATGTCCCCAGTCGGCCTTCTCAGTGTATGCCCAATCCATCTGGACTTGCTTCGAGTGCATATTTGTTGAGCGATAGGTTGTTGCCTCGTTGGTTGGTTGTCAGCCAACCAGAGTTGTTTGTTGTTTATTCTTATTATTCTGGCCATGTGATGTTGAGTAAGGAGCCAGGGTAGGTGGCAGTTGTTGATGACTGTGTGTAGTTTTGTTGTAAATGCCTTTCGTCAGGTGCCAAGTGTGTGAACCATACATGAGCAGTGACTTGAGTGGATTTGTGTTGAGAATCGGGATGTTGTTCATGCTTTATGCTGAGTGCAGTGCAGTGCAGTGCAGTGCAGTGCAGTGGTGGGGTGGGGTGGAGTGCAGAAGATCTCGACACTGGTTTCAGGTTAATGAGAGTGTGTCTTGGTGTGTTTCTGATGCTGACTGGTTGTGACGTGGTTGTGTGTGCCACTTGTAGTTGAAACAGTGCTATTTAGATAGGTGGAGGAGGTTACTTCCTTTAAATTTCTCCTGTTGATGATGATTGTAGTTTGTTGTTGTTTGTTGAGTATCTTCATCACCTCTCTCTGTCTTCTCTACATTCACTTGAAGTCTCGTCTCTCCTCGCTGCCCTGCCTTTTGTGTCAACTTGTTAGTTTTGACCTGTAGATGTTGAAGTTTGTGCGACAAGACATTAGACACAAGTCGTGATTTGTGAAATCCAAATCTTGTAGGTTTATTTCTGTGGTGCAGCCGGCGTATCTCCCTCTTCTCGTTCCTCACTGTTTGTTGCATGATCCAGTCGACCACAATCAGGAATATCATGGGTGACAGTAGGCAGCCTTGTTTCACTCCTGTCTTCACTTCAAAAGCATCACTGAGCTTCCCATTGTGAATTACTTGATATGTGGCATCTTCATATAGTTGCTGAATGAGGCTGATAAAGGTTTGTGGTATTCCGTAGTGTTGAAGCAACTTCCAAATTACCTCTCGGTC